CACACACATGTGGGGCTATTGGCACACTGGAGCTTCCGACATGGTGGCTGCTGGTTTCATTACTGTAGTTAGAGTTAGAACATCCACAAGAGTACAGTAAAAGTCCAAAAATCCGGATGCCAGAAATCCGGACCACCCGAGAATCCGGACTTTTCGAAAACTCAAATTTTTTTTTTATAAATTTAGCTGGCTTTTGTGTGTATGTGCTATGCGTGAGCCATAGCTGCACAGCGACAAACGACCACGCGGTCGCCACTTTAAACGAGCAATCAAACTGTGACAACGTATGTAATTTTGAGTCCGACTCTTTCCATTTACAGAGTACTGTGTAAACCCATAATAATGGCTCTTAAAGTAGATAAACTTCGCGTGAAGAGAAAGAAGAACACATTGAAATTGAGTGACAAACTTGAAATAATTAAGAAACTAGAACGGTGTGAGCAATACTGTTCTAATGGAAACATACGACATTGGAAAGTCTACAATTTATGATATAAAAAGGCAAAGAATAAAATTCTAGAATTCACAGCTTTTTCTTTAAAACTGCTCGTTTTGATAAATGAAGCATGTTATATTTGCTAACTGAATAAACTATCAAAATGTACCTGTTCATCTCTTCTTTATTCCTCCTTAAATTTGAATTTTAAAAGTACTGCCTGAGAATTGAAAACCAAAATCGGACTCAACCGATTCCCAGCAGTCCGATTTGGACTTTATTGTACATAGATGAGCAGTATGATGTACAGTGTGTTGTGCTAATTTTATATTAGGGCTTAACATAGTTTTGTTTTAGGCTTTTTGTGCACTAAATGCTTGAACTTAATTTGATTATTAAAAATAAAAATGCTCTTTATTCACCATCTTGGTAATAATGTGAAGAATTAGTGGAATAATATTAATACAGTAAATGGAAAAAATTGCATTGTGTGGCATGAAGTACAATATGTTATACAGGTTGTACCTCTCTAGTCTGGCAACCTCGGGACCTGACCTGACCTGTGCCGGACCATGGAAATTGCCAGACCATGGAAATTCACCCTTTTCCTGGATAGATAGTGATTTGTTCTTATGCCTGGAAGCACTAGCACCACTTTCTCTGCATCATGGTCTCTTTGAAGACATATTGAAGGGTTAAATGTCGTATAGTAGCTTCTCAAATTTCGCGAGTTTTTAATTCTTAACGTATTTTATTGGAACACACAAAAAAATAAATAAATAAAAATTTTGACGGCGGAAACTTGAATTTCGACGGGTTTGAACGGCCCGCCAACGTGCAGACGACGTGCATAATCGTGTAAACAGCGTCATTTCTCTTATGTACAAAAGATTCATTATTGTTTATTACTGAATGTCTTTTTTATTGAATTAATGTTTATGTGTGCAAAATGAGCAATACAATTCATTAATAGTACGTAGAATATTAAACACACGAGGAAATGACACAGCATTGTTTTCATGGATTACAAAACCAGTGACTGACTGGTTCTACATATAAAACTGAAGAAAATAAGACCATGGTTGTAGCTGTAGTAAAATTAATATGGTTGTTTTAAGTAATGTTATTTAATGTTAATAAATGGAACAATAGAAGTAGCTAACGACAATGGTAAAGAAAAAAGAGAGATCGCGTATGTAAGTGCGCATGCGCACACGTGAAAACATATCATCATTACTTTACATAAGAATATGAAAGCAACACTTATTTACTGTTCATATATATTTTAATTAATGTTTCTGAATTTGTTTTTATTGAATTAATGTACGTGTGTGCAAAATTAACAATACAATTTATTAATAATACGTGGAATATTAGAGGAGACGAGACGGCTGCCGGCATTGTTTATGTTAAAGCTTACGAAAACCAGTGACTGATTGGTTCTACATATAAAACTGAAGAAAATAAGACCCTGATTTTAGCTGTAGTAAAATTAATGTAAAAAAATTAATATGGTTGTTTGAAGTACCTGTAATGTTATTTAATGTTAATAAATGGAACAATATAAGTAGCTAACCATTAATGGTAAAAAAAAAAGTGAGACTGCGCGTATGTAAGTGCGCACATGTGAAAACATATCGTCATTACTCTACATAAGAATATGAAAGCAACACTTATTTACTGCTCATATATATTAAGGGTTAAATGTTGTACTCTGTATAGACAAGCAGAGAGAGAGAGAGAGCAGCCGAACTGCCGGATGTAAACAAACCTTAATTTCCCGCGGCTTTTTTTTTTTTTAAGGGGATTAGCCCACCCGGGCATAGGTCACTGACCCACATTGGGGCCTGAGGGGCAAAAATTTAATACTCCTGTAATAATAATAATAATTCAGATAAGTAAAAAAAAAAAAAAAAAAAAAAAAAAAAAAAAAAAAAAAAAAAAAAACGCTGCCTATCTACCTATTGGACAAACTAAAATCGTTCCGGACCACGGGAGTTAACGGACCACAGAATGCCGGACTAGAGAGGTACAACCTGTACTAGTAATAGGGAACCTCATAGT